TCCTCATTTTGAGCAGGCAGCCCAAACAATTGCCTATTCCACGCCACTTCCTCAACCCATGCCGAACCAATCCTTGACTTCAATCAAGCCAAGCTGCTCAAGCAATGACCCTTGCCACATCACCTCCTTGGCCCATGCCAAGACGACTTCTGGCCCCTGCCAGCCAACGTGTCGCACCACCCTGATGACTGCCCCGTGGCAGCACCACCCAAGAAAAAGACAAGAAGAAATTAAGTTTTTATTACATTGGTGTGGCACGGAGAAGACGAAGAAAGCAACAAAAAACGGTCTTTTGCACGGGCAAGATGTAGAAGATTGCTAGAGGAGGGGGAACAAATATCCTCTAAGCTCTCTCTCTTGTAGGGTAGAATAAATCTCTCCAAAGTTGATTTAATAACCCACTTAAGGTGGACTGAAATAGGATTTGAGAGAAATTTATTTTCTTTTCCTAGAAGGATCTAATTTCATATTAAAGAGAGAATCTACATCAAAACAGGAAGCAGTCCTAAGTTTCCTAGACCAAGAAGATCTCTACATCTGCTGCCCTTTCTTATGAGCAGCCCAGCAGGTGTGGGGGCATTTGTGGAGCAAAAAATAATCACAGGGCGACACGTGGATTTTTGGTAAAAAGGACAAAGTTACCCCTGAGACACACCGGTTGACTTACGCGTGAGCAGTGGACAATCATTCTTTAATCAAGCCAAGAGTGTCCAAAAAAGGTAACCAATTCCAAATTATCTCATCCATCCTCATCTTAGGTAATTACTTCATAACGTACAAATTATTCCATATAAATGGAGATTAATTCCTAATTAATCCATTAATCATCAATTAAATCACCCATCTCACACAAAAATACCTCTAAGGGCCGGCCACCTCCATGCTCTATATATATCACCCCATTTTCTCTAAAAACCTAAGTTCCACACTCTTGCAAAACTCCCAAAAACTCTCAAAATACTTTTCTCTCTAAATTCTAACTTTGGCATCGGAGGTTCTTTGGCCAAAGCCCTCCCATTCATCATGAGCGCGTGAGGCTTTTGGCCTTGACCTAAGGTGTTAATTGTTTTGTAGGTGCAATTTTGTCTAAGAAGAAGAAGGCGGAAATTTGTATCCACATTAATCATGCAAGTGATTTGGAAGGCATGGGAGATGAGAATGAGTAGGGTGTGGACTCCACTTGGCATACAACCAAAAGTCATAAAAGACGGAAAGTGGTCCTGTTCGGATCTATTCCATCAAATCCACCAAATCAAATTATATTAACATCCGACAAATTGTTAAATACACTTCACATAATTAATACACCTCATATTTGCTTTTTCAATTAAAAATTATCTTAATACACCTCATATACTTACCCATAATACCCTCACACCCCCCATTCATAATATACACCTTACATTTTCTATATACACCCCATATTCTCTATACATCCCACATTTCTCAAATCTTATAAAGCTTTTAATTTGGACAAATAATGCCGACTGAAATTTTGACAAAAGAAGCCGTCTGAGATTTATAGCATATGTGAGTTGTTTTCAATTCCACCATTAAAACCCATGTCATCTGTTTTTAATATTTTGTGGTAATTTTAGGTGTTTAATTTTTCATGTAATCCCTATGATCCCTAAAATATGAATATAAACATAGAAACTTGAATAACACATCAAAAACAAGATTCAATAATTATCGATGTCATCAAAATCACTAAAACAATAAATAGTATGAAGTTTTACCTCATGTGAAGCTTCCGAAACATCGATTTCATGTTTCATTCGTTAAAAATATTTTTTCTCAATCAACATGTTTGTAGTTTCATTGGTTAAGGTTTTGTTAAACAATTGAGGGTTAAAGGGGTTTTGATAGTTGAAGAAGATGAATAATATGTTAAAAGTGATTTGGGGTGTATATATAATTTTTTAATTTTTTTAACCTTATAAGGTCAAAATTGCCACTACATAGTAGGATAAATAAATTATTTAATATTAAATTTTAATGTAGGGTGCATTCAACATTTTGTGGGATGCTAATATAAAAAGCCATCAAATAATCTGGACTCTTAAAATTTGATCTAACGGCTAAAATTATTATAACTTTTAAAGTGGACCTTTGTTTGTAGTCATTGGATCAAATTTCAAGGGTTCGGATTGTTTGATTTGATGGAAATCACCCAAATCGCCCTTCACGCTGAGAAATTCATAAAATTTTCGTTGTATCTCCGAATTCGATTCTGCTTGCGCTGACACGTTCGTACCGTCGAGTACCTTGAATATGCAGTAAAATAATAGCTCATACGCTCACAAAATGATGGTCAATGAAAGTCAACAATCTTGCCTAAAGGGGCATTTTCGTTAATTCACTCTTTTAAAATTAATAAAAACGTAAAATTAGGGACATGTTGTCACACTTGGCCTCCTGAACTCGCTAATCATTCTCTCTAGTTGGTTATAATCCTATCAAATTTAAATTGAATTTGGATTCAATTTTATCGAATTTAGTTGAATTTTTTTCCAATTGGGATTGTGGAATGCGAGAAAAATGTCAGCGCGAAATACTCGTCCATTGGTTAACTCTTAAAAAAATAGTTTTTTTTATAGTTAATCCACATGGAGCCATATGATTGGATTAGTGGGACCACATCAACACACAAACAAAAAATATTGATGAAATTTTAATGGAATTATTAAATTGTTGGGCGTTAGGGACCAAATTTATCGATTTTTGAAACTCAAGGACCAAAATGAGGAGTTGGATCAATGTCAGAGACCATTTGTGATAAAAAAAAACTTATTTTGTGTAATCCACGTGTCACCATTTCATTAGATTTGTGGTTCCACATATAAACTAATAGGATAGTTGACGGACAGAAGGACCAAATTGATGTGAGGTAATGGATATCAGGGACGACATTTATTGATTTTGAATGTGAATGACCAAAATGATAAGTTTGATCAATCTCAATGACCATTTATGATAAAAACTCTTCTTTTTCTTATGCCAAACCACAAAACACAACACTCATAACTCTCTTTCTTTCCTTTACAGCTGCCCAACTTACACACAATGCTCTTTTCTTTCTCCTCTCTCTCTCTCTCTTCCTTCCTCTTCCGTTTCCCTTCTTCCATCTAATTTCTTCAACCCTTTTTCTTCTTCAATGGAGCTGAATTTTGGACATCTTATAGTTCTCGATCAGACGAACAACTTTCATGAAGGATCTTTCTCGATCTGAGCGACGGAAAATGGGGTTTTGGCACTCATAACATGACTGTCTAGTTTCCTGCGGAAATGGAGGCTGGGCTGGTTTTTCAAGCACCGTTGGATATTTTTGAAATTTGGATATGTTATAGGTACTGGGCAGATGAACAGCGTTCAAGAAGGAATTATTTCTGTTTGAGCGCAGAAAGTTGGAGGTCTGAAGCTCCAAACATGACAGTCGGATTTTCTGCGGATTTCAAGGCTGTAATAGTGTTTCAAATATCTGGAATGATTTCACCGTTGGATCGTTCTGAGTTTTTTATATATTATGGAAGAGACAATGAAAAGCAACTTCTATGAATAAAATATATCAATCTGAGCAAGAGAAAATAGAGTTTCGAAGCTCACAACAGGCCTGAATGGTTGACAGACAAGTGATGAACAGTCACTGATCACACCTGCGTTTCTGAAGTTATACTGCTCAGAAGGACCTCAAATTTGGATATGTTGTAGTTAACAAGTTAATGAACAACTCTCATGAAGATGTCTTTTCGATTTGAGCTACACAAGTTGGTGTTTTGGTCTGCTAAACAGGTATGACGAATTTCTGTTTTCTGGAAAATCTTTCTTTAAAGGAGGAAATGATGGTGATTTTGGTTGAAATATTATTGGGTGAGCTTGAACATATTTTCTGGATTGTTTCTTTCACAGGTTCTCATGGGAGAGAAAGGATTAACAAATGGATTTTGCTTGCTTTCCATGGCGTAGGTGATGATCTCCAAATGTAAATGCATAAACAACACAAGAATTTAAGTGGTTCACCATAATTGGCTACATCAACTGGGTTTTGTATCTTGTATATCTATTTCAATTTGTGTATGTACAGATTACAAGAAGGTGGCTTAAGAGCTTTAACAAAATATGTAAAGAGGGAGAGTTATCTGATGAGAGGAAGATTGGCTTCCAATGGTGTATCTTTTACTCATAGCCTCTGCCATTTTTTTTATAGGGAGAAGAATGAAGAAGACTCGGAAATTCCCAAACTCCCAAATTCTCAAACACTCAAGAAGACTTGGAAAATTCTCTGCGTTTTTCGTCAAACCCTTGAAGAACCACCAAGCACCCCTACACGTGCCGGTTCTTCAAATGCCACAAGCTGAAACCTTGAGACGTTCGTTCATTCGAGATCAAGTCATGGCAACTCTCGGATCAACAACTTTCGGAGATCGAATCAGATGATTCAAGTTATTTGTAAGTTTGTAACCCTAAACATTTACATTAATACAATGTTCTTTGTACACGTGTTCTCGTTTGATTTGTCATAGGATTTTCGTGTTTACACTTGTAAATATTGAACTCTTAGTGAAAGTTCTAAAGTGAAATACGAAATCCACATTTGAAATCAATTATCAAATACTGTATGCCAACATAAACACCAAGTAGAAAAATTGATGGTTATATAAGTCAGAAATGTAACTCGCCAATCACTTTACTAATTAGATTCTTATATTCTCATCATACGTGATTTATAGTTTTATAACTACTCATCCAATCAAGAAAATCTAATCCCATCTTACGTACTATAAGAACCAAAACGTAATGATTCTGAAATCATAAGAAAGAAATGTAAAATTAAAGCCTATTTGACAAACATGGTAATCACCATAGAGTGTCTAATCCTTAAGCTCCAATACCACTTTGTCCTGCCTTGACCTATGAATAAGGAGTATTCATGAGATAGGATGTGTGGAAGCATATTTAATAGAAATAAGTTCTATAACCAAGACATGATGGGGAAAAAATTAAAATAAATCTTATTTGTAACTAATACACGCTACACCGTAAAGCACTTGCTAATAATATTTACATAATATATACTTGAATTTACTACATAAAATTTATCGAATATGCATCAAAATAAAAACACTAATTATTAGTTTACAAATTAGTTCACTAAGGAAATAGGCATCTACCAAATAATAATTAAAATGTAGCAAGTCTTGCAAATACATAAAATATATGCAAATGAAATGCATGAATGTCACTCCCTTCTAATCCCACCAACACATGCCTAAGGCACCCAAGCCAGCACGTTCCATACCATACTTATACCACTTGGCTCTGAATACCTTAGAATACGAGTTAACTCCTGTGCATTTCTTAAGACCAACTTTTGTAATTTAAATTATCAATTTCCACTTTATTATATAGGCATTTCGCCCAAAGCCCAATTGTATACTTAAGCCTTTCCTCCGATACATGACATATTCAAGGTTTCAGAATATATATCCAAGGCATTCTCCAACCCTTGAATATCTTCACAACTCAAACACTTTACACAACTAAGCACTTGATATAGCACAACACTGTTTTTCTTGCTTTATGCATTTATATGTAATATGCAACATTGACTTCAAGAATCACATGCTATATTGCTATATGATAATTTTATAACCAAACCAAACAAATGAAACACACAAATAAATTATATAAATAATAGTAAGGGAGATTGGTGAGAGTTGATGATTAGAGTATACTAGAAATATTGCCCGCGCGTTGCTGCGAGATTAAAAACTGCATGAAAAAATATGTTTCAGAAGGATAAAAGATTGTTACAAATGATTAATGTTATCTACACTGAAAGATGTTTCAACTTTTTGAAAAAAGTTTTACATGAAAAGTATAAATTGAGTGAATCAAGCTCTTGAAGCTCTTTGAACCACTTTATGAGCCTAATTGGTACAATTGAAAATGAAGAGTTTAATAAAACTTTATGAACATAATTGAAACAAATTAATACCTTGACTGACTAAATGAACCGCAAATGAAAACATCTAAAATCCTATTCATTAAGTACAATTACCAAAGGAAGCTGAATAAAACGTCAAAAGTGATACACTGAGATAAGGTTGGTGGCGTCAAAATCACTAATAAAATATGCATCAAAATCACTAAAACTTGACTTCACTTGCTTGTTAAAATATAAAAAATTCAAATAATATTGTTTCCAAAAACTTGTCTAAAGAAAAGAACACCATTCACCTCTAAGGCTCTAACCATTTTTTGGTGGGTGGGATGGACGCGCTTCCTCTTCCACATTTAAAGACCAATGTTGGGGGTAGACCAAGAGTAAGTGCAACCCGACTGCAGCAAAAAAAAACGCAATTGACTTTCACACTACAGAAATAAATGTTAAAAAACACATACTTGCACCCAATGCTTTTTTTTTTTTTGGGTGCAGTATAAGAATAAAAAAGGATAACATTCCCCCGAAACCCAAATTCATCCCCCAATTTCTTGCAACAAAATTTTAGTAATTACAAACGTCCCAAACTTACTAAAAGGTTTTCAATAACCTTCTTGCATTGCAGGGTCCAAGAAGAACCAAACCATTTCAGGAACTCACATCGCAAACATAATAGAACTAATTCAAATATGAAAATCCACAAATCATAATGCTTCTCTCTAGTGAATCATCTTCATGGACCGCAACTTCTAAAATCCTAAAAGGCTTCTTTCTTTCTCCACTATCTGAATGTTCCATTTATTTTCTACTATTGAACTAAATTTTCACTTAATTAAATCTCAAACACTTCCAACTAAATCTTAAATCAAACAGAGCTGTTCAATTATATTAAACTACACATAGGGAGAGGGAAAGAGAAGAGAGACCTGGAATTTCCAGGATCCTCAGTACTGAGAGGGGCATAATTCCGATTGGGATTCAAAAGCAAAGTATACACCAAATGCCATATCAGTGTTGTCGGATGCTGAAAAGTAACTGTAATCCAGGGAACAATTTCGTTTATAAGCAAAATACAAAATAATTAGAAAGATTCCGGGAAAATTTGTGATGGTGGAAAACATAAAAGCCAAACTAAAACTATAAGCCTGTATTAGAGGTTTATTAAATCCAATGTTGAAACCTATTTAATAGGATTGTTCAAAACCTAAAGAAGGATTGAATAGTCTTGATAGAGTAGAGGGAAAAGAAGAAGCAAGCCACTATAAAATTACAAACATCGTCCAACTGAGAACAATATGTAAAAAAGTTGGCTACTTATTTGTAAGATGGAGAATAAATGAAGGCATGCTCATGGATATGGAGGCTAATGAACATGGTTAGATACTGGGTATGCATATCATTCATTTAGTAGATATTGAGGGCAGGAAATGTAGTTTCATAATTGGAGAAGACCACTTAGGAAGAAAAATACAACATAAATGTGAATTGCAAATATAAATCCAATTTTCAAACTAAATTCACTAATATAAATCTGAAACTTGAATTATTTATGTTTTCTATTAAAAGTTCCAGTGCTTATCTTCTAGCCATCATACGTCTAAAACAATACTTTTTCATCCAAATTTTTGAAACCATTCATACTCATACCAATCAACTCTATCGTGCTCAAATCAATTCCGTCTAATACGTAACAAAAAATTTGTATTTACATGTTTACTATACCATGTCTCCTTTTCATGTCCATTAGTGAAGTCAATATCGTCGCACCAACTGACCATTATTTTGCAACTGTGAAAGAGAGATCTAGTTAAAACCTACCCCACGGGATCTTGCCACTGGAGGAGCAGCTTCCGCCACCGTAAAAAGCATCGCTTCCTCAAGAGAATGTCTCCTTGTTTCCTTTGGAGCTCCACATGTGGCTCCATCCTTTACCAAACTATTGGAACTGATGCTCATATCTACTGGTTTAGGAACTGGTTGTTTTGCATTCTTCGCAACCCAGTCTTCCCTCATACCTGAAAGTTCCCAAGAAAGTTAAGAGCAGAAGGAAATAATAACTGACGCATTCTCCATGTTCCACATAAAGCTCATAATTCATTTTAGAAAACAACTTACTTGGCACGAATAGCTTTCTCAGTCCCAAAATTTGGTGGCAATTCTTTTCCCAATAACTATTTCCCTTTTCATTCACTTGTCTACACAAAAGTACATAGAGAATTAACTAACAGGATAATGAATCAGAACGTAGTAGGTTAGAAAAGATTAAAAAACACAGAGAGCAAGAATGTGAACACTGAACTTCCGTTTTCTAACAAATCAAAGCACCCTAATAACAAAACTCACAAACCTGGAAGGTCCTCTTGCGCTTATCAACCACGACTCTGAGCTGATTGAGCAGCTGCTGCACCATCTCTAGCCAATTCAAGAGCAAGCACACCATTAAAAATCTCGAAACAAACCGATGCTTCTTGTTCCCCCAGCTCAGGTCCTGAAACATGCACTCCTTGAGTACTCTCTGCTCAGAATCACCTCGTGGAATTGCCTCGTGTGCATAAGGAAGCAACTGCAACTCAATAAGACAGATTACTGTAAAGTAAATCATGGTTCCCAATCCAAATACATATGCTAAGCAAAGCACAAATAAAGACATGAAATCATTGTAAATTTTGAATAAAATCTCTCTCTCTCTCTCTCTCTCACACACACACACACAAAATAGGAGAAGCAGATTTGCAGAGACATAAAAGGGTAAAAAATGAAGAGGCAACAAACGGTAGGAAGAGTATAAGGAATGTTTAAAACCTTCTTAGAATTAACCACATTTGGATTTGTTCAAAAAATTACAGAAAAGAATTACCAACTACATTACACTAACATTGTTGTCCCACTAAAAAAAAACTCACCAAAAATAGTCTCCGTGGTTAAAGAGGGATTCTGTCTGATTCCAAAACATATATCTCTCACTGTCAATCAAATATGTACTAAATCAGTGTAATGCACTATATCATGTTCCGAACCACAATGCATTCAAAGCAATAATCAATTGAGCACACTAAATAAGTGGAAACATTTATACCTCATTCCAATTTGTGCCTCCTCATGTTTGCTTGTAGTTACAGACTTTGATAGGGTTTCCATTTTCTTCCAACTGAAGAAAGGAATTGGCATCTAGTTATGTTTCAATAGTTATGTGTTCAATGCGAGGGAGAGCCAAATCCAAGCAGTAGGTTTCCGTTAACTTCCCACCAAGGAAAGTAAAATCAATTGCAACGATAAAAGAAAAAGCACAAACTTATAAAATATGATACAAAACCATAAAAAGCAGGAAACGGTATTCTCAAAATGCACAAAAATATAAAAACAGATAGATCCCTACGTATTCAACCTTCAGAGCACACAAAAAGTTAAAATTTTCTTCAATAAAAAAGTCAAAGGGAAAATCTGAAATTATATAGCCCAAGCACAAACAGCTTGGAAGCCTGCACACAAAAGCCCCAAAAAACTACAGCCACACTCAAAATCCGAACGCAGGAACAAAACTCCAAAAATGAAAAAAAATAAAATATTTACAGAAAACGGATCTGCAAATGAACAGAACCCCAAAATATTTAAATTTTGTTCAACAAAAGATATAATATGAAAAACAGAAATTATATACCTTGATAAGAAAGGGCTTCCAATCTTGTATGCAAAAACCCCATAATTCGAACCCCAGCCTTTCCTGAAAGCAAAAACCAAATCAAATCAGGCAACCACACACAAATCCCAAAAAAAAAGTAAAAAATCAAGCACACTGAGAAAGACGAAAAAACTCACCAGGAAACGCTAGGTTATGTGAGCAAGAAATTGGATTTCCGACCGAATTCAAAAAAAGGCAGAAACTTGTAAGGGTTGAGGGTTTTCAAACAAAAGAATTTTGCAAGAGCGCAAAAGTTTCTGACCAAGAACCGGCGTCGATAATTGGCGAGAGAAATATGCAAACGGCAGATAGAAAAGAAAGGAAGACTGATTTGCAGAGCTTGTGTGAAGGGGATGAATTTTCAAATCGCTGAAATCTCTCTCTCTCTCTCTCTGTCTCATTCTCCCTCTCTAAGAAAATCCCTAAAATCCCTCCACAAATCCTCCCATATCTCTCTCTCACACACACTCTCTATCTCAGGGGCGGTCCATCCCCCGAAATCCTCATCGAATGACAACGAAGCCACCTACCCCACAATTCGCTCAAAACATTAGAGGACCAAATTGCCCTTCCAAACACATCATCCCTACCGTCGAATTTTAAGCTTTGATGGGCAGAACTGTCATCAAACGACAGAGGGTCCAACTGAGGGCCGGCTTTTACCGAAAAACTAACGAAGCCCCATGAAAAAAATTGAGGCAGCCCAAACCCCAACCCAGCCACAGATTTGGTGGCAGCAGTGTGTAAATAAGGCAAAATCAAGGGACAAAATTTTGACTGTAGCTAAGCTACAGTCAAATCCTTCCTCAATTTTAGAATAGATAATATCTTACCATCGTTTTCTCTTTTCTCATCAAGCAAGCTGTTACAATTTTTTTTATTTATTTTTCCTTATTTTTGAACCCTTCCTTTTACTTTTACATCCTTTTGAATCCACCACTCATCACTTCCACCGTTCCACCAACAGAATACTTCACACTCAACTTTATGTTTGTGCCATCCCATAACTTTTGCTGCCTTTCATACAGGGTTCCCCACAAAACACCCCACTTCTTGCTCATCATCTCACACTTTGTCAACTCCACAGTCAAGGGTTTGGTGATGGACACGTTGGCTGGAACGGAGCAGTTCTCTTGGACGGTGAGCGACTTAATAGTTTATATGATCTTAGTCACAACGTCGTCGTTGTCCTCCGTGCCCCGGCTTTCACTGCTTAGTGTGACTAGCCAAAGCCAACGATGGTGCTTCTCGCTAAACTAATAAGGTTTTAGCTTCCAATTCACGACCACACTTGGGCGAGCCATAATTTGTCTTAAGTATTCATTCTTTAGCCATTGATTCAACTGAGATATTTCTTAAGACACGCTAATTCTTTCGAGACATCTCGAGACTTGATATTGGAAACGAACCAGGGGAACTGGGAGTATCCACTGAGGCCCAAATCCAACTCGATCAAAATATCCCCCACACAAAGCAAGTGGAGAAGAAGAAAAAGAAGAGTGCGAGGGAGAGTTTTTGAGCCAGAGAAAGAGGTTAGTACTTTTATAATTACGGGTTCGTTTGGATGTACTTTTAAAATGATTGAAAACGCTTTTAGAGAAAATATTTTTTGGTTCCAAAAGCACTTAAAATGCTTTATGCAAGAAGCACTAATTATGTGCTTCTTTCAGGAAGCACTTTAAGTGCTTTTTTCAGAATATACTTGCATTTTTACTAAGAATTAGTTCCAAAAATATTTTCAACAAAAGCGCTTTTAGTCATTTTAAAAGCACATCCAAACGAGCTCTACATCACTTCTAGGTTTCTAGCTATATAGTTCTTGAGCTAATTTTTAGTCTTAGGCTATTTCCACTGTCAATTTATTTATTTATTTAATTTTTTTTTTTTTTACAAACGATATTATTTAAACTAAGGGGAGGAGGTGGACTTAACCTCATAATGGGCTAACAATAATGCGGTCCAAACTCGCATTTGTGGAGAATCGAACCTAAGAGACCTCTCACTTACAAATGAAAAGGAATACCACTACACCGTAGTACTAAGTGGCATTTCCACTGTCAATGTTGTGTTGTCATCAGTCATCAGTCCTTCTCAATGAACAACGACCTGGACGACAAATTGGAAACTGAGAATTCAGTTGCTGTTGGACAATGCTGCATTAAGAATTTTCCCTTGTAAGTTACACCACATCAGATCGAGGAGGCTGTGAAATTAATGTTTGTGAAAACCATTGATGATAGTCTTATTAAGCCAACATTCTGATAATATAATTAGGGTCAATTCTCAATGCTTGCTAGCGTGCCGTAGCGAATTCATCGTTGTTGCTCTTCTCCTCCTCCTCTCTTGTATCTGTATCTTATCTTTGAGCATTTAGCTGCACTAGAATTAATATTGCTTTCTTCAATTGTATATGGTATATATTGTATGCTAATTTAATTAATTTCTTGAAATTCTAGCAACATATATCTCAAGTCCTTTTCTTTTCACCGGGTTCTTCATCACTTAATACGTTTTAGCATCTAACTGATTTTTAATAAATTTGTATAACTTTTTTCTCAGCATTTGATGTACTGAAGATATGCATGCAGCTGCTTGAATTTGGTTGATTATTGTTATTAGAGCCATAATCAAGAGTATCTAGATCCAAATTATCATAAGCTATATAGTCAATAAAAAAATAAAATAAAGAGATTATCATCAGTCATCTATGCACAACTCGTGCCAGCAAACGCTGTCTAGGTTGATGCGGACTCAGGTCTTTTGCACTGGCAGTAATAATTGAGTCTAGAGAAGGAAGCTACGAACCTGTTGTTGTGGCTTGGGTAATTCCATCTCCTCCATCCCCGCACATAACTGCATTTCGCTAGGATAAAAAAAAGGGTCTTCTGTCTTTATGTACAAAGTAAGAGTCCACATGCTCAATCCAGGAATCTTTTTCTGTATCACACTGGCATATGAAGCAGTTTCAGCTTTCTTCTGCTTTCTAAGTCATAGCGAAAGATCAGCCTTCGAGTGCCAAAGAACAGCACATGAGAATTTGGACTTATTGTAAAGGGTACCAGAGTATCATGGTGTTGATTGTACTTGACATCCGAAGCGAAAAGCACTTTCATTCTTAACGTCATGCCACCCACACTATATCTGAGAGTCCATCTATCACCAGATTCACATCCTGGTCGATCATCATAAGACCAAAAATAAAAATTATCTGAAGCATCACGGTTTACATAACAGACAAGGTCCATTGACACCCCAAGACATCCCATCATTGTTTTATCATCATCGTCATGGTCCTTCTCCTCATGGACAGGACAAGGAGGGAGTTGAAAGGCACGAGCTTCAACAGTATTGAGATCAATACACAAAAGTTTCCCTGAGGTAGCTAAGCTGTATAACACCCCACGCAAGTAGAAAAATTTCCTGCAAAGTTTGAACCTTTTGAAGCCCTCAACAAAATTGGGGTCAAGTCGCAACCCATGTCGAACCCAGTGTCTAGAATGCGACGAGAAAATGTCCATTGGGGTGGTTGTGGTTATGGAGGTTGGTTGTTGCTGGGAATGGAAATAATCAATTCGAACAACTCTGTAGTGATCTGACTCGACAGGGTCATAAGCCAAGGCAGCACAGAAATCGGCCTCCTCGGCTTCGACTACAGGAAGAGGGATGGAGGCGTGTTGCTTAGTGATGGGGTTGCTCACACAAAACTGGTAAGTTGTTGGGTTGAACAACAGAAGTAACCCATTACAAGAGTCCCTGAGATTGTCAGAGAAGTCACGTCTCTGCCACCGACACAGTTCACCGCCCAAATCCACAAGCGGTGACGACGATTCGGGGGACTTGAAGAAGGGATAATCATATAAATAGACCAGGGAGAGTAACTGATACATACCGCAAGAGTGGATCGTACGGTAGAAAAGACCCACGGTAGGAGACCGCGGCCAAAACATCCGCAGCCACACACGGGAGATTATTCGGTGCCATTGCCAGGACTTGGACACCATCTTGCACTTAACCAAATCCCTTTGTGATAATCTACACAAAACATCAAACAACGAATCCTCGCACCAACATAATAATAATGATAATAAATTGCTCCTCCTCGTAACTCCTGAATCTGAAACTGAATTTGAATCTGAATCGTTAAGATTAACACTCAGATTCAGGTCAACGGCAGCCTCTGCCGGAGCCGGAGAGGAAACCATTGATGACGACGACTACCCCTAGTGGCGGAGCCAGAATTCTGAACCAAGGGGTGCCTTCACAAATATGTATATATATATATATGTATGTATGTATGTATGCATGTATGTATGTATGTAAAAAGTTGAATTCATAACATGTTAACATATGTAATTTGTTTAATTCTCACAAAACTGAAAAAATTCCCTTAAATTCAATACTAAGAAGAAAAAAATGTAAAAATCCAGACAAAGTAAGAGGTAGGTTGTGGAAGGCTAAAGAAAATACAAAGAAGTAGAAAAAGAAGGAAAATGGGGAGAGGTCTGCAAATAAAGAAGGTGGGTTGCTTTAGAAAATTATAGGGTGTATATTACTGTTAGGTGAGAGAATCGAACCAGAAGTGGGGTTGCTTTTTCCATTTAAAATTGCACATCTCTTTTAAAACTCCCTGGCCAAACTTATGATTTCATTAGACATCCGAAAAGATTTAAAATTAAAACAGCTTAACAACGTCGTTTGCTTCATCTTCTTCCATGAGGTTCACACCTCAGATGAAGTCAGGATGGGCCAGGAACTACCCTAGTCGCTTGGTGGCTCCGCCCCTGACCTCTACCCCTACCCTAGAATGAATGAATTCTGAAACTAAGCAATTAACAGAACAGAAACGTTGTCAATGTATTTCTTTCACGAGTAACGTATTCGTAATGTTTTGTGAGAAGCTGTAAAGGGAAGTAGATCGTCGATCGATATAGTCTCTAGATATAGCCCTAAACTCTTTTTCAGTTTGCAGAGCCTCCGGATGAGTTTGTTAGCCGTTCGGTCCTGTTTCTCCCTACCTCATTCGCCAAATAAAGGGTAACCCGCGTGCTTTTATTTTTAGTTTTTTGAGGCCTCGCGCACAAATTTTTTTTTAAATTTTTAGTTTTCAAGTTGAACAATTAAGTAAAAAAAAAAATTAAATTAAATAGGAGTATGTGATTGTGATAAGTTGAAAGAGTGTGTTTCTCTTTAATTTTAGTCTTCAGATTAAATAAATAAAAATAACATTACAAATTAAATAAGTCTATTTGTTAAAAAAATTTGTGTTTATCATCTTTTTATTTATCCCTTCTCTCTATTCCACTTTGGATTTACATAGGGAATTTATGGGGTGTATTTAATCGAGAATTTAAGAGACTTTAATGAATTTATAAATTTATGGATTTATATGAAGTTTAATTGATTTGTAGAGATTCCATACAAAATTTTGATTCAATTCTCTCGAAATCTCATGAGGAGATGTGAGATTTGTGAATACTTAAAATACATTACGAAATTTCTCAAATTTCCTCTAATTCATCAACTTTCTGAAATTCTTTAAAATCAATTTCTAATTGAATACACCTGAAATGTTATAAACTTCTTTAAAATCATAATTGAATGCACCCGAATTTCTAAGGATTTTAATTAACTATCTTAAAATTCTAATTGAATACACCTTAAATTTTAGAGAATCACTTAAAATCCTAATTGAATACCCTTAAATTCATTAAAAGAATTAAAATCTCTCAAAATCTCAATTGAATAGCCCCTTACTTTCCTTGTTTTGGTGTGACTAGGAATAGGAAACTCATGATTCTCTTCGTCTCTTTTCCCCTTTGGGTTTGGGGAATTTATTAATTGTAAGTTGTAACACTTGTGTGAGTGATTAAACAAAGAATCCAAATCCAAATAGTTTATTTCATAGACCAAAAAACAAAAAATCGCTTATTTCACAAAGAGTATAGCATTCAAAGAAAAAGTTAAAAAAAAAAAAATCAAAATTTGGTAAATCAAAACAGATGTACAGTCGGGCAGACCTAATAAATATTAGATGCATAATGGGCTCAGTGTATAAAATATGTGTGCTGGATGGCCCTCAAAAAGCACGCATAGGAACCTATAAAATCATAAGAAAAATAACGAAAAAGGTTTGAAAACTTTGAGTTTTAATAATAAGGATAAAATAAAAGGTAAAGTAAATAGTAACAGGGTTGACTTTTTAGTATAAAAATATGGTTTTTCATTAAAGTGAACAGTACTGAGTGCTTTTCGTTAAAAGTTCCCTAAAATCATACCTTAGGGGGCATTTGTTTGCCCTCACTAAGTGGGATTGGATTGGACTAGACTAAAACTCAGAGCAATACCGTGTTTATTATGCAGCAGGACAACCTTTCGTGGGACTGGGACTCGCCTCGACAAAGGACGTCGCTAGACAGTCTTAGCGAGTCCCATCGAAAGGCATCGGATTGCTAAGACCTTCGCTGCTTCACTCCATCTGCTTCTCTTCGTCCGCTTCTCTCCCTTGCTCTGCTTCATCTGCTTCTCTCTCCCTTACCCATCTATCTGCTTCTCTCTTTCCCAAATCTGAAACCGCACCTAGTGCCTAAATCTCAACACCAAAATTTAAAAAAAAAAAAATCAAAGCAAAAACAACAACAATCCCCATATAAAAATTCTTCCTTATTCCCAATAATTCCCAAAAAAATCCCAAAAAAAAAAAAAAATTCCCAGAAAATTCCCGAGAAATGGATAGAGAAAGGAAGAGAGTAGCTTTGGTACAAAGAAAAATGGAGAGATGGAGGAGAGAGTAGCTTTAGGGACGATTTTGCAGGAAAAATCGCTTTGAAGGATATTGTTTTGCAGGAAAAAATGAGTGATGGGGAATGGCACTAACGAGGAAGAAAAGAATGAACTCCCAAGGAGAAGATAGTGTTCCAGACACAAACACAATGAAAAAGCTTGAATAAAAAGTAAAATATTATTGAGTTAATAAAAAAAATATTATTAAGTGTTATTTAATGATATAAAATTATAGTTGTTAACTATTTTTTTTTTTTTAGTTCGGCACTTTACCAAACGTTTCATTAAATTAGTCCAACTTAGTCTACTCTAAGCCAATCCAGCTTAGTCCATAAAGATAATCCAGTTCGAATTAGTCTAGTGCAACAAACGCACCTTAGAAGTACATAAATTATTTTTGTTTTTCTTTTCGGAGTGGTGAGGTTTGCCTACTCCTTGAAATGAACTTGTTTACGTGCATTCAATGTATTTGTAACTTGAGAGCAGTGTTCGAAACCATTGCCAGACCATTCAAAATCAACGGCGTTCCTTTGAGACGTGTGAATCAGTCCTATGTGATTTTGCCACCTCCACCAAGGTTGACATTTCAGGGGTGAATATATGTAGAAAAGTTTGATGAAAAATATTTTGCAAAGGTGTTGGGGCCAAAAATCTCACATGCAAGCACAATTATACTTCGAAGCTCGAGTACCGAGAAAGTGCCATGAGCTGAGCTTAAATCCATGCGAAGATACTGAATTAAGGGTACGTAACTAAATTTACGATCACGTCATGCTAATAAAATATTAATTTATAACTTGAACGTTAGTATAATCATGCCAAGCCTATGCAAATCCATGCAAATTTATCATGGCAAAGTCATGTTATGACGTTCACATCGTAGACAAATCGTGCCAACCACGTTATATGCTAAAATGAGCCTAAGCCACATGTAGGGGCTTGCCAAGTGGATCGTGGTGTGGATAGCTATGAAAGTTTATTGGGCCTACGTGAAACTAAGGTTGTGGAAGACTTTGGGCTTATGTCTTATAAATTCTAGTCTTGTAATCCCACCTTAATCTTAGCTGTCCAATTCAAACTAGAAACATTTCTAATTAAATATGAAATAATACTAGCTAGTTTTGTAGAAAAAGATCTTACGTTGAGACTAGTTTACATATCAAAAGTATGAGTTCTTATATAAACATAGTGTAATAAAGAAACCCAAAGAAAATAATTTATACTTGAAATAAAAATAATTACCACATACTTGTGTATAATTTGTTTTTAAAATACGGAGTATTACAATCAACCCCCCTTAAAATAAATTTCGTCCTCAAAATTTGTAAAACCTTAATCGTTTTGTAAATAAGGTAAACAAATATAAAAGATGTAGAAAAATATATCACAAAAATATAGTAACGGTTGAAGAACATTAGTAAAGTATTTAGTTATAGTGGGTGCATGGAGACTACCCTTGCATATAAAATGGATTGCAATTCTCCAATTACTATGTCTCCCCAACTCTAGCATATAAATAGTGATAGAAGTATTGCAGGTTCACAAACTAATCATGAACATCACCTACATCAGATTACTACTGGTAGCTAGTTAGTATTGTTAGAGTTAGTTTTATGAACAGTTGTTGCTAAGTTAAAGTGCTGAGTCAGCACACATTTGATGTTTATAGGGGTGTGATATCCACACACCCCAAATTACTTCTCACACATCCCTTGTTAATTTTTGTCCGTTGATCTTCTTCAATTCATCCAATCCGACAGCCGAAAATTAGAAGGGTGTGTGGATATCACACCCCATGTACAAATACTCTCTCGATGTATGATTTTGATTCATTAAAATGAAAGATTCAGTTTTTTTTTTTTTCACTTTCTCTCATGATATCCCTCTCTGGTGTCTAACGGCGCGTCAATCCTACGCTTCCCCTTTCTCATACTTTCTTGTATTTTCTCACATTTTCTCGTCTCCCAAATAGATCTCTGCTTCTCCAATTCTTCAATTTATGCCGCAATTCGTCTGATTCCTCTCATGACGACAACTCTGAACTCTCCTAATTCCTCTTCTTCGGGAAATCCTTCTTGTATGGAGCAACTTGTGCAGCCACAAAATCCATCACATTCTCCTTTGAAATTCGACTTCCGTGCTTCCTCACCACAAATGCCACTAGTCTATATCTTCCCACTTTCTTCATCCACCACACCTGCCACTACAACATCAAGTATCTCAGAACTGTTAATCAACACTTTCTAAATCTGCCAGCGCAATCTGAAACCCCTTATATTTGATCACGTCTTTAAGCCGGTCCTGTAGGTTTAAGTATCCATCTTCATCAAAGTACACAACGTCCCCTTTTTGCAGCCAACCCTCTTCATCAATTGTCGGCATTGTTTAAGTATGCATTCATGGTAGGCCCGCGTAGCCACAACTCACCGTTACTTGTTGGAGGCAGAGAGGATCCTGTTTTCCAATCCACCACTCTGGCCTGCGTGTTTGGAGCTAAAAGCCCTATTGAAGAAGGTTTTTTAAGGCTTTCGGTGTTGAAACAGCGAGTTCCTACTGCCGTGGTCTCAGTCATTCTATAACCCCGAATCAAATCGACATGAGGAAGAAACCTGAACAAACCTGCTTCAAACTCTTGAGGCTTTGTTCGGCCAAACCATCTTTAACTTTTATTGTCAATGCTGTTAAAATTGGTGGAACGACCGGAAAGTGTGTAACTTTGTACTCATCAATTGCGTTCACCACCTTATTGACATCAGATTTCTTCATCACAACAATTCTTGATCCTAAAGACAACAACCCCATCACGAAAAGGGACAACCCATAAATATGAAACAACATAAGAACATCCAAATATACATTTCTCAAACTCGAACCCTCATTGCAAAGCCTCAAACTGCACGAAAAGCTCCAATGCAGCTATGAAATTCCTGCGTGTGATCATAACACCTTTGCTCGCAACAGCAGTCCCCGAAGAATACATTATAACCGTGGTGTCTTGCTCCTAATCATCAGCCTCGGAGCCAAATCAATATTACCATAAACAAGCTTATAAAAAACCAAAAAAAACATCATTCTTGGAATCCAAAACTGCATTTTCGGGCACAATAACACCCAATGCATATAGCTTACTAACATATTCAAGTCCAGTAAACACACGACACACTTTCAAATCATCAACCTGTTTCTTGATTTCCATGACACTGCTGAGAGGATTCATCGTCGTGACGATTGCACCAGCGTGCAAAACTCCCCAGAAAGCAATGGAATAGTAAATGGAATTCAGCAAAAAGATCATAACAACGTTACCTTGTGAAACCCCCATTTTTCGGAGGCCAGAGGCAAATGCTTTGACAAAAGAGTAAAGCTGGGAGTAAGAAAGTGAGGACCCAGATGAGGAATCAATGAGGGCAGGTGAAAGCGAAACCCCATTGTACTGGTGTGAAAAATGGAGGAGACAACATCTAGAAAAGGGTCCGTGAGGAGGGTAATTTCAGGGTTTACTACGGTAAATTCCTGTTTCTGGTCAAGGTAGTTGTGATTCTGAGTGCTCTGTTTCCGTGAGGGACTAGGATTCTCTCCCATCCTCTTTCCATCCCCTTCCATCCCCTCCTCTCACATTCTCTATTTAGTATTTCTCTTTCTATAAAAAATTAATATAAGATGTTGACGTGGCTTAACAGTGACCGTTCAAATAGAAGAGGAGGGAAATAGAGGGAAAAAAAGAAGGGAGAGAATTCTGTAAGATATGGTAATTGAAGTTGTTGGTTAAGGTAGTTATGGTCATTGGAGAGAGAGAGAGAGAGAGAGAGAGAGAGAGGTTTATGTGTTATTGGTGTGTATTTTCCAGGGGAGTTCTAATGGTGGCCACAAAAATTCATGGTCAAGAGTGACTAAGAAGAGATTAGAAATTCATAAGTGTTTTGCTATTTCCCCTCCTCATAATCTTGCTATGGTTAGTATTCATCTTTTTTCTTCTATTTTATAATTGAAGTTGACTTATACTTAGCCAAGTTATATTAGTGCAGTGTTTCCCTAATGTGCCTAAGTTTGAATCTCTTTTCTTAAATTAGCCACTGATGAGGTTTGAACCTATAAAGGCTCAACCCATTTTCACCACTGTGGTAAAGAGCCTATTGCCTTTGACTAGTTTAAATTAATACATTGTGGAATTTTCTAGTATAAAATATAAAAACATTTGCAAGTGGTTTGTAGCTCAGTTAGTTAAAAGCATTCGCACTTGCACCCAAGATCCGATATTCAAATCCCCTCCTGTAGTTTTAGTATAGATTATCCTATTGTTTGTCAAAACAAAAATATAAATAATTTGAAGTTAGTGTATTTCTTTTTGAGTAATTACAATTGAAATGGTGTGTTACTTGGTTGGAAAGGAAGGCTAAATAATCAAAAGGTTAACTGAGGAAGGTGTCAATTCATTGTAATTAATATGTAATTAAATTGTTAGCCGAACATGTGGTCGGCCCTAACGTAGATTCACATCCCATAATTTTTTATACATGGTTTTATATGTTTGCGTGATAAATTTGAACACGAATTTTGTTATCCACGAATCTTCAAGTTTTTTTAACTAACACATAGAATATAAAATTTAAGAGCTATGAAAAACAAGTTTAGCTATAAACTTATAGCATCGAGTGCTATGTAGCATTGAAGCCACACACTCGTTTATCTGATCATAAGACAACCCTCATGGCATATATCGTCATCATCATGTACATGAATCCACATGTAGGGGTGGGTTGGAAAAACCGAAAAAAAAAAACCGGACCGAAAACCGAACTGATGCTGAAAAAATCAAACTGAAAAAAAAAACCGAACCGAATCTGTTGAACCGAACCAAACCGAAATTCTTCAAAACGACGTCGTTTTTTAATTCTTTTATTAATTAATAATCTTTATTCTAAACGGCAATGTTTTAGTGTTTTACCCAGCTTTAACCCTAAGGTTCTCCTGTATTCCTCTCGTGACTCTACGTCTCTCCCATTTCCCAGTTCGACTTCGTGCGCCTCCTCTCTCTCTCTCTCTCTATCGGTCTTCAAAGTTGAATCACTCTCTCTAAAGCTCTCTGTCTCTCATTCCCAGCGGCGACCCACGACCCTTCTCACTCTCAATCTCTCACACCTCGCCGTCAGCTTCTTCTGCCGTTTCAAGTCTCAACAGCAAAAGGTTAGTCTCACACTCTCACTTCTCTGTGTTTTATTTTCTACTATTTATCTATTCAAATTGTTCTGATCGGACAAAGATTAGAGAATGATTCATACTGTGGCCTTTACAGATTTTCAATTATTAATTTACATTTTCTGTCGATAAAGATTACAGGGATTCATACTTTGCATTTTCTGGATTTATATATACAAGTTGGTGTGCTTGATGCTTAATTATTCCCTTATTGCCTCACTTACAATGATTAGGACTTGTTATCCTGAATGGGATACTAAATGATTTACCTGGTGGCCGAAAATGTTTCAAAAACTGTATCTTCTGTTCTATGGACACTTAAATATCTCCCTTGTTCGAATTTAAAGGGAAGGATCTTCCTATTTGCGTGTTTGTACTAAACAATTAAGACCTTATTTGTAGCAACTGTTTAGGTGACAATATGTTCAAATTTGAAGGGAAAGATCTTTCCTGTTTCCGTTTTTGTAATCAACAAATAAGACCTTATTTGTCACGGAGGATTATAGAGTGTAAGCTTAGTGTTGCTTTTGAAACTGGTGTTGCTTTAGACTAGTTCTATCATAAAATATGTTAATAGCATTATAAACTGGTGTTTCTTTTGAAACTAGTTCTATTGAAAAGTATGTCTTAATTCTTGGCACTAAGCAAACTTTCGTTTGTTTATTTTTACTCATTGCTAGGCTTTCGTTAATAGCATTATAAACTGCATTTCTTCATTAGTTTGATTTAGGTTGATTAGGTGAGGACGTTGCAAATAAGATAGTGACTGTTAAGGTTTTGTTTATGACTTAAATTTAATAATGTGCTTGATAGCTAAGGTGATTTACCATTAAGGTTTTGCTGCATGATTTCACTCTGCATATTTCATATGCTTACTAGTTTTCTACTGCTACTGACAGTGAATGTTATAGTTTTGATTAACATTTACTTTTGTATAAGTTTTTAGTACTAACTACTATCCTCTTATTAATTTGTGCGAATTAGAAGTCAAATGCGTCAAAGGTTTCAAGGGCCTCAAGCTCAAGTTCAAACTCAATGAGATCAAAATCAAATAGCCTTCATGATCAAACGAACTCATCTTCAAGTATACCATCGGAAGTAAGTAGTCATATATTTTTATTACTTTAGCCCTTATGTTTAATAATTAATTCATTAATTGTGATGATTCTCTTACTTGAATAATTAATTGTATGATTCTCTTATTTTAGATGGACATTGTTGGTGAATCAACTCCGCCTCAAAACACCGTGGTGGCCCCTTGACAAACTCCTACTTCTCTTGGTGGATCTGGAAATCCCTCTTATGCAACTCCAAAAGAAGGTGACGCAAGTGACCAAGTAAAGAAGAAGCTCTTTTGGAATCATTAAAAAGTCATGAACAGTCTACAGTTTGGGAGCACTTTGAAAGAAAAATTAAGGGTGGTTGAGTTAAGGGGTTGTGCAAGTATTACGCCCAATCATATATGGCCGACCCGGATAAAAATGGTACAACTAATTTGAGAAACCATATAGCAAGATATAGAAGCTACGGTCCTAATAAGGAAATATTTGCCGCAAATAGGCAAAAGATCTTAACCTTTGCCGGGACGAAAGATAAGTTGGAAGTTATAGGTTTTTCTCAAGAGGAAGTAACTAAGGCTTGTGTTGAGATGATAATTATAGATGAGTTGCCTTTTATTTTTGTTGAAGGAGAAGGTTTTCGCCGTTTTTGCATGCAAGCATGTTCTATGTGGAGAGTGACTAGTCGTAAGACAATTGCTAAGGATGTACTTAGCTTGTTTTATTCTGAAAATGATAAATTGAAGAGCTAATTGAAGACATTTAGGGTGTGTCTAACATTGGATACATAGACTTATATTCAACAAACCAATTACATGGTTCTTACAGCCCATTTTATTGATGATGATTGGATGTTACATAAAAAGATTTTGAATTTTTGTGTCATTCCAAATCATAAAAGAGAATCCATTGCTCAACTTTTGGAGGAATGTTTAGTGAAGTGGGGTATAGAGAATGTGTTAACTATTACGGTTGACAATGCTTCCGCAAATGATTCTTGTTTAAGGGACTTGGTGCACCGAATAAGTGGGTGGGGGATTCCTAATGCATTCTTGCATGATGGAAAATATTTGCATATGAGGTGTATTGCTCATATTCTCAATTTGGTTGTGAATGATGGGATAAAATTGTTGAATACGGCTATACAAAGCATTTGTAATGCGGTTAGGTATGTAAGATCTTCCATTCAAAGGTTGGAAAACTTTAAAAGGTGTGTTGAGAAAGTGAGAATAGAGAGCAAAGGGCTTGTGAGTTTGGATGTCCCTACTAGGTGGAATTCCACATTTTTAATGTTGGAATCGGCTTTAAAGTTCAAGATGGTTTTTTATAGATTAAAAGTAGATGATGGTCATTACCTTCTGTACTTTGTTAAAGACAATCATGATAATATGAGGGAGGGGCCACCTTCGATGGATGATTGGAGTGAGGCGAGGATATTTGCAATCTTTTTTAGACCTTTTTATGAAGTCACTTTAAAAGTATGTTGTTCTAATACTCCAACCGTTCATACTACTTTTGGTGATTTGTTTAAAATCAAAAGTCTCTTGCATGAAAACAAAGATGATGAACTTTTGTCTATGATCTCCATGTTGATGCAAGAAATACGACAAGTATTGAAGTTCAATTGAGGACATGAATCAATATCTTTTTATTGCACTTGTGCTTGATTCTCGCCACAAATTGGAGAAAGTTGTTGATTATTTTGAGATACACTTTGGTGAGGATGAAGAAAAAGTTGAAAGTGCCACAAATGGGGTGAATGACTTGTTGATTGATCTTTACAAGATTAATGAAGATTTGTCTTTTAGTACTCAACAAAGTATAAGTAGTGGTGGTAGTTCTCAAACAACAAGTGGAGACTCTTCATCAAGCATGACCAAAATAGAAAGAAAGTTGAAAGAAAAAAGTGAAATGAGAAAAGCAAAGAGAGCCCGGGTTGTGCATAATGATGTTGACAAGTATCTTTCCGATCCTAATGAAGGAGAAGAAGAGGAGAACTTTGATATATTGAATTGGTGGAAGAATGGGGTTTCTAAGTACCCTATTTTGGCACGTGTTGCAAGAGAGATCTTAGCTATTCCCATATCACACTACTACAATATTAGCTTTAGGTGGTGGATGATGGTGGCAGATATTAGAAACATTATGTCGGATAAATTATATCCGACACATCATTTAATTAGTGGCGTATATTAGAAAAATAATGTCGGTTATATCCGACATAAAATCATGGCGGATATTTAGTGGCGGATATCAAAAAAATCATATCGGTTATAACCGACAGTATTTTTGAATTTAAAAAAAATATATTTTTGACATATTATGACGGTTTTTAAGTTAATGATAGTGGTTATAACCGACAAAAATTGACTATTTTATTATTTTACTTTCTGGCGGTTATTATTTTAGTATAACCAACAGAAATGAAAATTTTATTATTTAACTTTGTTGATGCACAAAATCGGAGGTCTTAGAACAACGTAAATTCGACCGTGAATCTGCAAGAAATGTAAATGACACAAGATGTATCGTGGTTCACCCAAAGGTTTGGGTTACGTCCACACTGATTATATATTTATCTGAGGGAGAGAGAGCTTTGAGAGTGAGAGCTTTGAGAGGGGGTGAGAGGGCCTAGGAATTGGCCTCAGAAATGGCCTCCTCTAATTATGAGGGTAAGGAGTCTTTTTATAGAATAAGAGCTCCTCACTTATTACATATTTGTCTATTCCTTTATTACATAATTACATTTGAGTCCCCCAAGTATTTATACGAGATCTAAATACGAAGGCCCTAAATATGGTATAAACAGTAATCCCCCAAGTCTTCAGTCAAGAGAGTCTTTTGGCTGGAGACTTGAAATTCAGTCCATATGTGGGCCGAAGTAACTAGATGTCGTCTTGAACTGGCACTTGATATGAGGCGGTGCTCAAAGTGAAATGATGCTCAACTATAAGTAGCACATGTTGCGAGGCTGCTCGGCTTGTGGCTTATGTTGCCTTGGTTGGCTCGGCTTGCGGCGCTTGAAGGTGAGAGAGTCCATTTTATAGAATAAGGGTTCGTTCCTCAATACATAAATGATGGGCTAGAGTTTGATGCTCGCGGCGAGGCGGTTGCTCAGTAGGCGACGATGATCTCTAATGGTGGTGAGAGTCCCTTTTATAGAATAAGGGCTCGCTCCTCAATACATAAGTGATGAGTTAAGAGTGATGCTCGCAGGGAGGCGGTTGCTCAGCTGGCAGCGTTGCTCTCTAATGAAGATGATGGAGTCCCTTTTATAGAATAAGGGCTCGCTCCTCAATACATAAGTGATAGGCTAAGAGTGATGCTTGCGGCGAGGCGGTTGCTCAGCTGGCGGCGTTGCTCTCTAATGAAGGTGAGGGAGTCCCTTTTATAAAATAAAGGCTCGCTCCTTAGTACATGAATAATGGGTGCTCTCTAATGAAAGTGAGAGAGTCCATTTTATAGAATAAGGGCTCGCTCCTTAATACATAAATAATGGGCTAAGTCCCCCAAGTATTTTTCATGAGGCCCAGTTGAGGCCCAATATATGGTACATAATGTAGTCCCCCAAGTCTTCGGTCAATAGAGTCTATTGGCTGGAGACTTCAAATTGAATCCATGTATGGGTCGAAGTGGCGGTTGTTCGGAGGCGGTATTTGTATACCCTGCACTGAAGCTTTGTAGGTGAAGCTTTGTAAGTGAAGCTTTGAAGCTAGAGCTCTGTAAATGAAGCTTTCGAAGCTAGAGCTTTTGTAAATGAAGCTTTTGAAGCTAGAGCTCTGTAAATGAAGCTTTTGAACTAGAGCTCTGTAAATGAAGCTTTTGAAGCTGTTTGACATGAGTGATGCTCATGAATGTTTATGTTGATTGACATGAGTGATGCTCATGGATGTTGTCATGAGTGATGCTCATGAATGTTAACATGAGTGATGCTCATGAATGTTGACATGAATGATGGTCATGAATGTTTATGTATGATTGTCATAAGTGATGCTCATGAATGTTTATGTATGAACGACATGAGTAATGCTCATGTATAATTTGGAGTACTGGGCGTACTTTTGATCACCTGGTTGGTGGCATGAAGGAGAGTACGGGTTGTACATTTCATCACCTGGTTGGTGGCATGAATTGTTAGTTGCCAAATGATATTAGAGTACGGGTTGTACATTTTATCACCTGGTTAGTGGTAATAGCGGCAGGTTGCTGAATAATTTTGGAGTACTGGACGTACTTTTGGTTACCTGGTTGGTGCTATTTTGGGCTTATGGGCCTTCGCCCTCCACACAACATTCCAGCCCATTTATTTTGGGCTTTGCCTTTTTTTTTTTTAATTATCTCTGATGGGGTTTATACAGATGTTACCGAAAGATAAGGAAAATAAATTACATCATTCGGGTGGGATGTTTATTCCTTGGTTTTGCAGTGTTTTTCTAATGCATTCTCTCTGTCTCTTCATTTGGCAGACATAAGGAATCATAATAATAGGAAGATCTTTTGCTTTTCTTCTTTTCTCTTTTCCTTTTATGCTTTTCTCCTGCTTTGCTTTTGCTTTCTCTTTTTACTTTCTCAGAAAATGATTCCACATAGCAGCGACAATCCAGAAGGAACTGGACAAATTCGTTGCAGTCGCAACTCATCCTGGACACCCCTTGTTCTGCATAGCGGACCCACGGGATAAGATCGTCATCATTCATATCCCAGTACACTATCTGTGGCACCACATCCCTGTAATGGGCTTCTTCAACGCCGTTGTATTCCTTGTACGATTCGTGCGGGAACACCTTCCTCGCGATGCTCTCGCAGATCAGAGTGGCCTGATCGAACGAGGAGTCGATCGAAGGGTTCGCCAGTTGCGGGTTTGGGCTCGCATTTGGGTTCGGGTTGAGACGGTGGGGTGGTCTGTGCAGGTTTACTGAACTTCTAGAGGGCCGAGAAGAGTCGGGGGATTTGATCGTACGGCTTGTGATAATTGGGCATAGAGAACAGCGTGGAAAATGAGGAGTTGGACTGGGTGTGGTGAAGGACACCGCACAAGCATGGACCGCCGACCACGTGGAGAGCCACCACTGCATCTATGCATGATTTCTGTTTCTTTCTATTTCTCTTCCTTATTCTTCAAGGGATTTGAGTAAAAGTTTTGAACTTTCAAATGGGTTTTCTGAAATCTGAAATGGGTTCTGCTTAAAATCGAAGAGAAATGATTGGAGTAGGAGTGAGAGATGTGGTGGCTCCGTGGGTTTTATGGGAAAGCTTTGGGTTGTTGGGTTTTTGCAGATTCACGGTGGAGGTGAAAAAATGAAATAGAATCGACACAACTTTTCGTATCGTTTCCCACAGACGGCGCCAAATGTTGATGTACAAAACCGGAGGTCTTGGAACAACATAAATCTGACCGTGAATCTGCAAGAAATGTAAATGAGACAAGATGTATCGTGGTTCACCCCAAGGTTTGGGCTACGTCCATACTGATTATGTATTTATCTGAGGGATAGAGAGCTCTGAGAGTGAGAGCTTTGAGAAAGAGTGAAAGGGCCTAGGAATTGGCCTCAGAAATGACCTCCTCTAATTGTGAGGGTAAGGAGTTATTTTATAGAATAAGAGTTCCTCACTTATTACATATTTGCCCCTTCCTTTATTACATAATTACATTTGAGTCTCCCGAGTATTTATACGAGATCTAAATACAGAAACCCTAAATATGATATAAACAAACTTTATGTTCATCCATAAGAAGATTGGCAGTCTTAAGATCCTTGTGGATTATATTATTTTGGTGCAAATAGTTCATTCCCTTGGAGACGTCAATTGCTACTTTGAGTAGAGTTGGAAGCTTAAACACACCCTTGTGCTTATGCAGAAAATCGTATACACTTCCTTTGGACATAAATTCTGATAAGCAGGAACATGAGCATCAAAAGGTGGTCATCAGTGAATTCAAATCGCATTAAATTAAAATTCGTAAGTGTTGACAATCAATATATCACTATTCTCTTCAGTTGTAACCAATTAGACGTTGTATAACAAAGATGAAAGTACGACACCCATCCATAGCAATCATGAATACTCAAGAAATAAGATACTTGTGCAGACTTGGATTGTCTGCCCTCCCATTTAGGTGCCCTCCTCGTGCCCTCCTGTTTTGTATGGTCACGGTTAAGCCACGTCAATATTTTATATTATTTTTTATAAAAATAATAAAACAAAAAGAAATAATAATATAAAATGTTGACGTGGCTTAACCGTGACCACAAAAACAGGAAGGCACGAGGAAAGCACAGAAATTGGAGGGCAGAGAATCCAAGTCCTACTTGTGCACATGAGAATCATTAATATATATATATATATATATATATATATATATATATATATATATATATATATATATATATATATATATATATATATTCTCTAAGATAAACCTGTCACAATGCATAGGTTTGGAGGTCGTGTACATGCTTCTATAAATTGCACAACATTCTTGTGCCGAATCTTCCTGCCAAATGTCATGATATCATGAAGTTTACAAAGCTGCATGGTAAATGACAACTGCCATCAACAAGTATAAGTAGGTATATGGATGCACCTCAATATATAAACTTCCTGTGAAAAATCCCTGAGCAGCTCTGCATTGACACGCTCAGAATGCGTATCGTAAAATGCGTATCGCATCAAAACATTTCGTATATTAGATCGTTGAAAAACGTTTCGTAGAATATGTATCGTTGAAAAACGGTAGATTAAACTAACACTTAGAGTTAATGTTATACTTCCCATCAAGTATAAAATAAGATTTTGTGGTATTCAATAGTGGAAATATTTTAAATTAAAGATCGAATTTGTTCAATGCATTCTTATAGAGTCGAGGAGTGTGGCTGTAAAAAATCATCAAAATTGGAGCTAAATTAACCGTTAAATTGTGATTTTTCGTTTATAACTGTCGAAAACTTTTGTTACCTAATCTCTAAATATTTGTTTTTTGTGATTTTTTACGTATGTGATCTCGGAATGTGTACAAACAAGTTTGACGGTTAGATCATTGAAAAAAGTTTCATAGAATGTGTATTGCATCATAACGGTAGATTAAATAAACACTTAAGAGTTAATGTTACACTTCCATTAAGTATAAAATAAGATTTTTGTGGTATCCACTAGTGTAAATATTTTAAATTGAAGATCGAATTTGTTTAATGCATTCTTATAGGGTCGAGGAGTGTAAATGTAAAAAATCATCAAAATCGGAGCTAAAATAACTATTAAATTGTGATTTTTCGTTTACAATCGTTGAAAACTTTTGTTCCGTTACCTAAACTCTGAATGTTTGTTTTTTGTGATTTTTTACGTATGTGATCTCGGAGTGTGTACAAATAAGTTTGATAGTTGGATCGTTGAAAAAAGTTTCGTAGAATGCATATTGCGTCAAAACGGTAGATTAAACAAACACTTAGAGTTAATATTTACTTCCATCAAGTATAAAATAAGATTTTGTGGTATCCACTAGTGTAAATATTTTAAATTGAAGATTGAATTCGTTCATTGCATTATTATAGGATCGATGAGTGTAGCTGTAAAAAAATCATCAAAATTGAAGCTAAAATAACCGTTAAATTGTGATTTTTCGTTTATAACCGTCGAAAACTTTTGTTTCGTTACCTAATCTTTGAATTTTTTTTTTTGCGATTTTTTACGTATGCGATCTTGTAGTATCTACAAACAAGTTTGACGGTTAGATCATTGAAACTAGTTTCATAGAATGAATATCTCTGTTAAATTTGCCTAAATTTTGAAGTGTGAAAAGTAATTTGTGTTAAATTTTTATTTATGTTATTCAAGTATTGATTAGACAATATTTAGTTTATGCGATGATATTTTCATTGTACAATTATCTTTTTGTTTCTTTATTGCATATTTTACATGAGTTATTATCTATTAAACCAAACAATTATTTATTTAATTTTTAAGAACGTATGCTATTTAAATTCTTATTATTTATTTATTTATTATACCAAACAATTATTATTTTATTTTTTAAAATCGTAACAAAATTTTGTGGGGGAATTTAAAATTTTGGGAGGGAATTTTGGAGGGGTTTTTGCCGCCATTTTTTTTTTGTCGATTATAACCAACATAAATAAAAAATTTCTGTCGATTTATATTTAAAAAAAATGTTTCTGTTGGTTTTAACCGACAATAATGAAAAATTTCGAACATAATACCCCCTCCATCTCTTCTTGCGCCGGTGCCTTCTCCCTTCCCCCATATTACCCCTTTTCTCCTCCCTGCATTTCCTTCTCTTCCCTTCTGTGCTCATTTCCTTCTCCCTTCCCACTTCCTTCCCCCTTTTCTCCCCTCCCTTTCTTCTACCAGGTTCAACACTTGCAGTTTATTGGGTTACAACCATGAAATCGTTAGATACAGATGCAGCAACATACAGTTTGGAGCATAAGATGTTGGACCAAGGAGTGCAGGTACAAATTTCACTTTTTAACATTTTAAGAGATTATTTTGGACGTCTTCTTTTGCAGTCTAGTTGTTGTCTTTGTTCTACGTAGTTATTTTTATTAGGAGTAATTAGGTTTTCATCCTTATTTTTACTACTCTATTGATTAAAACCTTATTACTTTTCAATTTTTGATCAAGGTCCTTTGTATTAATAATATCATTAATTATTTCAATAATAAAATATTTTTTATTTATAAATATATTCATTTAATATTAAAAATGTTACAATTAGTATATTTATATTTATGGCTAAATTTTTTATCATATTTTTTTATTTTTAGTTTGTACCCATTTTTAATTTGCAACCCTTTTTTAATTTGTACCAATTTTCCTTTCAATTTTAATTTGTACCCATATATTAATTTCTTTTTGTGCCCATATTTTTTAAAGTTTTATTTGTATTGTACCCATATTTTTTTATTTATTTGTACCCATTTTTATGTTTGCTAAATGTACCCATTTTGAAGAATGTACCCATGTTTTGATACAATAATTTTTTGGTTATTTTTTATGAATGTACCCATGTTTACACACACACACACAATAGTATATTTATATTTTAATATTTTTAATCCCACAAATTATGTTTTTTATTTAAAATCTCATTAATATAAACAACTATAAATTTTAATTTTTAATTTAAAAAATATAGTAACGTACATAGAAATAAATTATCAATTAATTTTAGGGACTTGGATCAAAAATTGAAAACCAACAAAGTTTCAGTCAAAGATTGTTCATAACTAGGGACCGCATCCAAAGTCTCCCTTTTTATTATCTCAATATTTCATGATTTGGAAGCATTTTGTTGTCCAACCGTACTATATTGGCCACTTGCTAAGGAAACTATGCTAAGTAAATCTAACTTCCTATCTGATTTGATCTATACTATGGCCTTGTCTGGCTTGGTCTTCTCTGTGTGTCATTTCCTATTTCTGATAGGTTAGATTTCTCTGTAACTTCTCCATGTTTCTAATACTGCTTCTATACATCTACAGGTCCTCTCTGAAAATGGCCAAGAAACTTTAAATACAGCTCTCAAAGCTGATTTGGTTGTATTGAACATCGCAGTTTCTGGGAAATGGTTGGAGGTTGTTCTTCGGGAAAATGTTCCCCGTGTTCTCCCAAAAGTGTTGTGGTGGATTCATGAAATGTGTGGCCATTACTTCAAATTGGATTATGTTAAGCACCTCCCACTTGTTGCAGGTTCTATGATAGATCTCCATTATCATAGATCTCATCAAATGCAGTGAATGCAGGAGATATGGAAAATGCAAAAAGTGCAGTGAATATGGAAAATGCAGAAAGTGGTTGTTTATTTTTTATTTATTATTAATATCTTTTCTGTCAGTTTTATCGGACAAGAATGATTTTATTTATTTTTATTAATACATTTTCTGTCGGTTAAATTCGACAGAAGTCTTGTTGGTTTTAGCCGACAGAAATACTGTTATTTATTCATTATTAATATATTCTCTGTCGGTTATATCCGACACAATTTCTGTCCGTTTTAGAGTATTTTTTGTCGAAAAATTCATTTCTTGACATTGGCAATTCTGTCGCTTATTATATCCGTCATTGCATCCATTTTTTGTCGGATTTTGCTTAAAATCCGACAGTAATATATGTTTTTTTATCGGTTTTTGGACCGCCAATTATAGATAATTTTGTAGTAGTGTCAACCATTGCTTCGGAATCCTCCTTTAGTACAAGTGGATGGATAATTGATCCATATCATAGTTCTTTAAGTCCAAAAATAGTGGAGGCTTTGATATGTACTCAAAATTGGCTTAACTCTATTCATGTTGCATTACATCATGAGCCAACCATTGAGGAGATGAAGTTTTGTGAAGAAGTTGAGAAATGTAATTTTATTTATAGCATTTGATTTTGTTAGATTATTTTAAATAACATTTTAATTAGTATCATTTCTTTTATTATTTGTATGTAGAAATGGCAAGTGGAAGTTAAAAAAAAAGTGCTATGTTGCCCCTTAGGCCGTCCAAGCATTACCAAGCAAATTGTCATTCAAACTTAAAAAAGTAGGTAGATCGCACGTTTAAAGTATGTATTCCATCACCAATTTCAACCATGTCTTGTTCATTCCAAAATCGCTCTCATACAATTCTTCTACTTGGACAATTTGATTTCTATGCATTTGTACTTCATCAAGAATGTCGTGTGATTATCAAGATGTGGTGATTCATGTACTTAAAAAAGGCATAAAAATTGCCTAGAAATCCCAAATTGCATTTAACATTTGCTAAATAAGTAGGACGACCATGATATTTGAATTTGGATTGGTTTGGCGAATTGCTATCAAGGTGTGGAACAGATGCCCAATCATTTTGCTCAGTAGGAAACATGTTATAGTTTTGCTCAGTAGCAATTTGATAGAAAATGTTTTGGCATCCTAGTACATGGATTCTAGGTTCCATTTCCAATGGTCGAACATGAGATCTAAGCGGTTTGTGGGGACCTCTCTACTTATCTACATAGAAACTTTGCTCAATTGGTCGTCTAATTAGTAGAAAAAACTTGACATAACTGCTATTTCATCATGTTCATGCATGCATTTTACACTTGATCTTGAGGTTGATCTTGTTGGATGAAGTTCGACCCTTTAAAGCATTAGGACACCCTCACTAACACAACTTACAAGTCGGGTTTTTTTCTTTTCATGACTCTGACACAGGTTGAAGTGAATAATTTTGAGGCTTTGATTCATTATGGTGCAGGTGCTGAGGTAGTTGTGTGCATTACGAAATCAGGGGAAGTTCTAAATTACCAGGCATTCACGAATGATATTTTAGATGTGGAAGACTTGAACTTTGGAATGTTTATTTTAGGTGTGGAAGACTTGAACTTTGATATTTATTTTAAGTTTGGACTTTTGAAAGATTTGAACTTTGATGTTTATTTAACTTTGGACTTTGAAAGACTTGATTATAATTGAACTTTGAATTGAATGTTTATTTTTGTTTGTACCATACTTGACCAATCCCGAAACTACCGAGCACCGGCCAACGCTATACTGTCAAGGACCCAGAAGAGTTCCCCTCCGACCAGGAGGCCAATCACTACTCGACACGTGTCAAGATTAGAAGCCAATCAGAGCGCAGCACGTGTCAACATCAAGAACCAATCATAACATGACACATGTCAATGTGACAAAGCTACAAGTTTTTCTATAAATAGGGGTCATTCCCCCACAATATTGCCTAATGCCATTTGTGTTAAATCATTCACAAGAACTCACTAAATTGAGAGCTTGATCCTTTGTACTTGTGTAAGCCCTTCACTACTAATAAGAACTCCTCTACTCCGTGGACGTAGCCAATCTGGGTGAACCACGTACATCCTGTGTTTGCTTCTCTGTCTCTATTCATTTACGTACTTATCCTCACTAGTGACCGAAGCAACCAAGCGAAGGTCATAAAAACCTGACACTTTCTGTTGTACCAAAGTCCTCGCTGATTTTGTGCATCAACATTTGGCGCCGTCTGTGGGAAACGACACTTATTCCTACTCTCTTCAGCTGTGTCAAGCTGGTTTCTATCATTCGTACACTTTCTTTTGATCAGGCATCCCTCTCCAACATGGGAAGCGAAGGAAGCCACAGCACACAGAATGACACCCCCCTTGCACATAGTGCGAAACAACGAAAGAAGGAAGGAAACCGAGTTCTTCTTCAAGCTAAAGTCGATGAGTTGGAAGCTCAGAACAACAAGATAGCAATGAGGAATGAGGTCCTCCAGGAGCAATATGAGAAGCTCTTCGAGACACTCCACGAAGCTAGGCAAGCTCAGACACGCGAGATTGTTTGCCCCGTGGAAGTCAACCATCAACTGGGTGCCCTCCAACATGGAGGGTCACATGCATTCGACATAGATATCCCTGATAGGGAACAGATTACCCCTCGACTTGATAATCAACATGAGGCTTCTCTTAACCCAGTTGCTTCGACCTGAACCATGAGAAGTGGAGGGAGACACCTCTTTGCTGAAGGGGCAGAAGGATCGAAAGCCGTCTTTCGCGATTGTCGGGATTTCCTGAAGCAACGTCGAGAGAATTCCATCCATATAAGCTCAAAGATTAATGACCCAAGGATTTCTGAGAGACTCGGTCCCCTGCCACGGCCCAAGCCGGCCACCAATTTGGGGAAGGGGCAACAAGTCCCAGAGAGACATGAGGGTACAGGGGACTCAGAGGTGTTCCGACAGACATACCCTGGAAGCCAGTACAGCGAGTCCAGGGAAAAATCACATGCCCTTGATCAAACCTTCCTAACTCCAATAAGAGATGGAGATTTACGAAAGAAAGCTCCAGTGACACATAACTCCGCTCAGGACCCCCTTGTCCTACAAATTCTTGAGGAAGTAAACAAGTTGAAGGCTGAACGTCAGGCTGAAATACCTGACTGGAACCAACCCAGGCCTGGCCCTCTTACAAGGAGGATCCTCAACACCCCCCTTCAAGCAAAGACAAAGCAAAAGCTTGGCTTGCAACTTTATACTGGAAAAGATGACCCGATTGAGCACCTTAACCTCTTTGAATCCACCATGGCATACCGGATGCACACCGACGAAGAACGATGTCTTCTCTTCCCCTCCACCCTCTCTAGTGGAGCTCTAAATTGGTATTGTCGTCTTACACCTGAGACGGTAGACTCATTTGAGGAATTGAGGAAACTATTTGTTTCCCAACACATTTTCCAAACCGATCGCTTGCACTCTGCAGATGACTTGTACACTATCCGCCAGAAGCCAGACGAGTCATTACGTATGTATGCTGGCCGCTTCAGCCATGAATACTCCCGGTGTGCCGAGGCAGACGACAAGACTGCCCTCAAAGCCTTCACGGCAGGCCTACGTGATTGTTTCTTTAAATACATGATCAATGCCAATACTTGGAAGACTTACTCTGAGGTGATGGCGCAGGCTTATAACCATGCCTCCGCCGAGGCAAAGACATATCAAGAGAAACCCCCTACAACCATCCTTTATCAACAAGTGGGAGGTGGAAGCCAAACTCACCTAAATGAGAAGACCTCGACTTTCCAAACAGCAGTGGCACCTCCCCGTGCCTTGCATAATGCTTCACCGAATCAACAGACATATCAATTTCAAGGCAAGAGGAAGGATTTCCATCCTCACCACTCTCCTTTCAGTAAAAAGAGTAAGGGACACTATCCCGATAACCAAGGGTATCGCCATAATAACGCTCGCCCCCAGGCAGTCAATGCAGTGGGTCAAACCCGCGTCAAGATACCCCTACCCCAAGGTATGAGACATACACGCCCTTGAATGCCACATGCGCGGGCCATTTACCCAGCATAGCTCACCTGATACCAAAACCAAAGCCGAGGCACCCAGATTACACGCCCCCGAATAACGCGGGCACGTTTTGTTGCTACCATGAGCATAACGGCCATGATAGCGAGAAATGTATCATCCTCCGTGATCGTATTGAAGCTTTGGCACGAGAAGGAAAAATTGATCAATTCCTTCTTCACCCTCAAAGGGATAACCGTAACCAACGCCAGGTGAATGTCATATATTCCATAAGCGGCGGCACACCCATATCTGAATCTTCCAATAGGGCCATGAAAAACAGTGAACGAAGTCTGAGGCCTGGTCACCAAGTGTTTCACGTGGAAGACATCAGGGGAGGGAAGTATCAAAAACCTAACTGGGATCCGATATGTTTCTACCCTGAGGAAGAAAGAGGCATCATCTACCCTCATAACGACCCATTGATCGTGGAGGCTCACATAGCCAACTTTGATGTTCGACGAATCCTCGTAGACACAGGGGCTTCGGTCAATATCATGTTTGCCGAAGCTTTCAGGGCGCTCAGTGTAGCTGAACACTTGCTCGATCGCTCAATTTCTCCTCTGATAAGCTTCTCCGGTGATATCGTGCAACCCTTAGGGAGCATACATTTTCCCTTTACTATTGGTACAGGCCCTTACACGGCTACCATTACCACTAACTTCCTAGTGGTTGACTGCCCAACGGCATACAATGTCATCTTTGGGCGCACAGGCATCAATGATCTCAAGGCTATGGTATCCACGCATATGCTGTTGATGAAATTTCCAACCCCCCATGGCAACGGCTACATCAGAGGAGATCAGCTTAGTGCACGATCATGTTACAACACTTCAGTTAAGCAACAACACTTGCCCGGACCCAAGGAAACCTTGTCTGTACATGACCAAGTCACAAAGACCAGCCTAGATGAAGCGAACTTGGATCTTCCTGATAGCAACAATCAACCCGATGATCCTCGAGATGACTCTTTCACCCAGCAAGCCCAACCTGCTGAAGAGTTGGAGAAGGTACCTATCTCAAGAGATTATCCAGATCGCATGGTGAAGATTGGCACCACATTGTCACCACCCCTTCGGTTAGCATTGATATCTTTTTTGAAAGAGAACACTGAAGTCTTCGCCTGGTCATACGAGGACATGCCAGACATCTCTCCCAATGTCATCTGTCATCGTTTGAGTATTGACCCCAAGATCAAGCCGGTGAG